GTCTCATATGCACATAAGACCTCTTTCTGTGCTGTAATGTTAATGTAAAGGAGCATTTCAATAAGTGAAAATTTCATTTGCTCCCATCTGAAGGCCCTCTGTACTGTCAGCACAACATAGGTGGAATTTTAATCCAGAGTATTTATAGCTGTACAGATAAGAGCGGGTTACAATAAAACTTTAAAAGAAAATCCCACCAAAAGCCTTTTTTTTGATTAAAGTGTTTGTAATATTTTGAAACTTTTGAGAGATTACTAGTTTGTCGTATTCTTCCAGACTTGTTTACGGCTTTAATAGTTGCCATTCCTCATAACATTTATAACTGTATGGAAAAATATTCTGAATTGCAAGTATTTATCATTTCAAAACTCAAACCAATCTGTCACTGGTAGTTACAGGGAAAATTACTCTATTTGTGAAACTTTCAGAAGAGTCCTGTCCTTAGCTGTAGGATGACAATTAACTGAGAACACTCAGAGCTGGGAAGTCAAGCTGAAACAAACACTTTCTCTGTTGCTCCTTCCCTGTAAACCTACAAGTTGGGATATTTTGAGGTGATAGGACACTGTAAACATTTAGATTGTTGTTAAATGAAAAGATTCTTTTTTTTCCCCCAGCTTCTTTCATAACAAAGATGACACTATTTTGTCCTCTGTCACCTTGTAAGAAGTGAGTAGTAAGAAATACAGTATTGTCTTGCTTTTTAGATTGAAGCTTTGGCAAAAAAAGAATAGCACAAAAAGGAGAAAATGAAATAAGACTGCAATTACACTTGACTCTCAAGAAAGCACACTTCTCTTTCTTTGCAAGTAACTCTACCAATTGATTGTGATTCATTATTACAGACAAATTTAACTTTCTTCTTTGCTATTGTCTTCCTGTATTGTTTAGATGAAGAGCACTAGGAAAACTATGTATAAACTTTCAACTATGTGAATGTATGTGCAAACTTTATGACTGTGAAGTCAAATAAATCAATATCTAGGAAGCTCAGAACAAAAGACTGAAGCCATTTATGGTGACTTGCATTAAGCAATTTATTTTGTGCTTAGCATTGTTCAGTTAAGCTAATCATGGAAGATTAACCTTTAAAAATTTATATTGCAAAGTACGTTGATCCCATTCTTGGTTCTTAATGCTTTTAGCTCTGTAAACAACATTTGACATTTACCAATAGTAATGTCATGGACAAATGTTCCCCCATCCTGCAAATAAGAAAGCTTTAAATTGTTTTCCTTTTTTTGAGGAAGGAGTTGAAGATTGGCAGCAGTGCAGTCTTTTTTTTTTTTTTTTTTAATGCTGAATTAAATGATGACATCACTGTAGAGATCATTAGAATTCAAATGTTTAACACTGTAGAATATTAGGCAAGCATTCAGATTTTTTCGCAGTGGCCACTGTTTCCTCATTTTATTTGAATGAAGCAAAAATACTTTAAAGAATGACTGTGAGAAAAACTGGTTCTAGAGTGTGTTCTGATCCTAAATCAGAGTGGCACTGAATTACATGTATAGGTATGAACCTCCAAGCAGTCCTATTGCTTTTGCTGTGGTGCCTCATATGTTTATAACTACTTCTGATGTTTGCCTTTGGGTAGTGCTGTGATATAAATATTCAATATTGAGAATGAAAAAGAAATAACAATAATGCATGATAGATTCAGTGTCTACCATTCAAATTTTCTAGCACCTTTCTTAACAGGAGTTCTGAGGAACAAACAGTCAATCTTAAATTAGTCTGTCAAGCTTTTTTGAATCTATGGTCTGAGCACCCTTCCTGCTCCATAAATTCGTTTGAAGAATCTACAAAAAGCAATTAAGAAAGGAAAGTTCAAACATGTTATGCAGGAACTTGCATGCATGAAGTTCCAGAGATTAGAAGAATATTGGTAACCATTGAAAAGAAGGAGAATTTATGGGACAGGCTCTGTAGCAGTACTAATCCTTGACAGTAGTACAAAAGTGCTACAGATCTTTTTTTCATATAATACAAAAGCTGTCACTGTCATTTAATGGAGTTGGAATATGTTTCTTTTAGCTTCACAAGACATAACATCTCAAAGTGTGTGAGCTGTGTTTAGATGGCATATACCTTGAAATACAAAAGTGCTTCATACTCACCCATGTTTACTCTTCTATTAAAAAACAAAAACTATTGGAACAATCTGAAGAAAGTCACATATGCAATGAGGCCTTGGGGACACCAAGTGAGAAGCACAAGTCATGTAAATGACCACCTCCAAACTAGACTATTTATGTAGAAAGGTTAAGGGTTATTGGGTTTGAGAGATTTTGCCACTGCTAGATGTAAGTTGCCTTTTTAGATACTTAACTCAATGGAGTTTTTAAGGATATAATTAAGCCAGTTTTTTTCTCTATTAGCGTTAAATCCGAACTAGAACCGGGCCAGTGCAGGAAATGGCAGTAGTTCCATTCCTACACCAAATATTATTTCATAAATAAATTCTTAGGAAAAAGGGGCGCTACTGCAGCTTAACTTCCATTTCGAGGATTTCTTGGAGCTTCAGGCAGATTCCTGATTTGAAGAACGGCTGTTAAGACACAGCGTAGAATTTAGAAATGCAATGCTTGCTCCTGTTAGGTGACATTGCTTCTGCATCCACACAGCTGGGCAGAAACTGTGAAGCTAGGCTCTGGATCTACAACCAGAAGGGCTGGAACAGCCTCATCTGAAGCATTTGGGTTTATTATCTTGGCAAGGGGGAAAGGAGAACATCTACTGTATCTCCTTAGTATCTCATGCAAGACTTAAAGGCTTTTGAAAAGTTCTGTAGATTTCTTTTGTCCATTTTTTGCTAACACTGTTGAAGAACAATAGCAGATAACAACATGGCACTTTCCTTGGTAATGTCTTCTGAGTTGTTGTATCACACTAGTCCGTGTGGTCTAGAATTCTGATTTTAATTTCAGCTGGTTCTTTAATCTTACTTGCTAGTACATGGTGATTTACATCTAAGCAGCTAACAGCATAAAGCAAAACACAGTATCAGTTTAACATAGTAATCAGAGGCTAACTTTAACAATGTGAGGTTAAACTGCTTCTGAAAAATGCCATATGTCACTGCAGGTTGTCTATACGACTATGTGCATACACAGAATATTCATACAAGATATATGTATACAGTGAACATATGAAACACATGTGACGTTAAACATTTGGTTCCTGTTAAGACCAATGGAAACTGAGGTTTCCAAACTCCACACGGGAGATTATTACAGCATCCAGTCATAGATATCTTTTTCATGGGGAAAATGTAGCCTTTCCTCCAGAGCTCTGAAAGTTTGGTTCCATAGGTGTGTTCAGAAAAACAGACTTCAAAAATATCTGGCTCTTTTTTCATTTACTTCCTCTTCAATCCACAATATTGGTTTTGATTCAGAACACTTTAACGAGACTGTTTCTATTTTCTTTGTCAGTAGGCTGATAAACTCTTATTACTAGGCAGCAAAACCTTTTCAATACGCAATATACCTAGTGGGTCATTAATTTTATGTTGAAATAAAAGAACTTTTTCCCTTTTTCTCCTGACAGTTATTCCTGATTTGTCTGTATTAGACCAAACTTATACTCTCTTTATTACTGCTAAGACTTTTCTAAAACCAAAGAAAGACTGACGACTATTCCCAGTCAAGCTTATAGTACAAAATGTATGGTTAAGGGAAATAAGATTTGCAGAAATATGTTATCCTCTTCCAAAGCATTAGTGTCTTACCCTTTGATTCTATGCTACTATTTGTTCTTTCTCCTTTGAAATTAATGAGGGAAGACTTCAGACTTATGGGCATTTTGAAATAAAATGTTAGACCTGTAGGCCACGGATTGGTGAGATATTAAACATACTTTTTTACTTCCTTCTACATTACTTACAAAATGAGGAGAAATCACACAGCTGACCACACTGCAGCCACTTAATGCTGCTGTAAATAGATCATAATAAGCATGTGGTATACATGATTGTTTGTGCGGGTAAATGAAAGGGTGTGGATTGTTCAGTATCAATGGAAGGAGGGGAAAAGAAAAAAACTTCCTGATTGCAGCTGCAAATGGTAGCAATTTTTCCTTCCCGCATTAGCAAATATAATTCATGTAATGCATATTACTTCATTCAACAGCAAAATTCTCACGTTCAGTTCACAGACATAAAGTATTTTAATTAAGAATATCAATGAGTAATGACAATCCACTTCCAGAAAAAGCAAATAAAGATGCTTCTTTGGCCATGTAGGAGTTGTGATGCGAATATTGTTTATCAATCAGTGTAATAAATTCACTTTCCTAAAACACTTTACCAAAAGAATATCCTTTAAGCCATGTTCTGTTTTATTTGTCTGTTTTCCCCTTCTAACCTTCCTTTACATGCAGTATTTGACTGCAAACCTGCATTTTACAGTCTTTAGTGATCAAATCACTTCATCCTCTATAAACATCACAAATTAAAAGAGCTTTCAGCAACTGAATTCCAACACAACATACACAAAACTAAAATAATTCATTTCTTTAGAGACCATAACAAATTTTAATGTGCATTTACAGAGTAAACAGAGGGCTGAAAGGGGCCAAACCAGTGGAAGTGAAGGTATGTATTACAAAATTCACACAGTACTGAATTACAAACTAAAAAGTGATGTATTGTCAAAAAAAGAAAATAAAGATGTCTATTGGTGGCACGACATATAGATAATATTAAAAACTGTCTTGCATGAGGACCAAAGTATGTCTACTCTGAATTTATATCACACAGACTGTAAGCAATTTACAGAATTTAAGTTAGTTTTGCATATACAGGAGTTGCAAAATTAGAGAAAACACACTGAAATATAGAACGCACACAAAAAAAAAAAAGATGTATATATATAAACCTCCACACAGTCATCAGGGGTTGGCCTAAGTCAGTAATTGCCACCATTGAACAAGAAACAGACAAAAAAAGACAGGAAAAAGCCCCACAGGGGAAAAAGAATAATAAAAAAAGCCCAAACAACTCAAAATAAAAACATCCTCCTTTGTTTTCCAGAAACAATGTCCTCTAGTCTGCTTAACTGCTTTGTAAAATTTCTTTTCTCCTCCCTATTCCTCATGCAATAAAAAAAAAAAAAAAAAGGGCTTTTTGATAAAGTTTGTGGGTCGATGTCAAATCACTATGTTTTGTTTCATTATTTGGCCTCTGTTTGCTTCCAGGCTGGAATGGTTCTTTCAGCGTAGGAAACCAAATGTCATCCATAGTTAATTCTGTAATACTGATGACTCGCAGGCCAACCCCTGAGAAGTCAAGGATGAGGCTTCTCCTTGCCAAAAGAAAAGGAAACTAGGTCTTGCTGTTACAAAACATTTGATTACATCACACCAGTTCTCTTCAAATAAAAGATCAGTGATACGTCAAAGAAAATAAGATATATCAAGAAAACGTGGTATCCTCTTCTTTTTATAATATTTATTTATTTATATTATTTATTTAATATTTTTGTTTGTACTTCCTGAAGAAGGTGCTCCTTGTGTAGAGATTTAGAGTACATTGGGTGCAGAGTGGTGGTTGGAGGTTAGGGTCAACTTTGCTGTCCGCTCCGTGGATTTTACAGGCGATTTGCTCTTTGCTTTAAGAAGAGAAAGTGATATTGGAAAAAGTCAGCACTTTTAGATTAAAGCAAAGCACCCTTCACAAAGCCACAAACAAGAAGCAGGACAGAAAGTCCATGGCTTGTAGCTATCCTCGCACCTGCGGAAGAAGTTATAAGATATTCGCTCATCTTGCAGATTTCCAATGCTCCTTATAAGGCTGTTTTAAACACATACATTTATATATTTAATTAGCTCGCCAGGTTGGCTCTGGTGCCCATGAATGTCTTGGCATGCACTGCAAATAACAACACATACAAAGTATTTCAGTCCCAGGGAGGTTTTTTTTTTTGTTTGTTTTGCTTTGCTTTTGTTTCTCATCTGTCTTTTTAAACAATGTTAGCCAGTGAAACCATATACCAAGAGGAACAAACCCAAACACCTTCCACCTCGGAGTGTTCTTTACAAAATGATTTCCAGCATCACATCATTGACTGCTAACAAAAAAGTCATCTAGTGGTTAAAGAGTGTTTTCTTGTAAAACAGAGGAGATACTGGCAAATGGCTGTGCTATTTACAAGGGGGAAACAGAATGCTAAAAGGTTTGGTGTATTTATTTTTGAGAAATTACATTTTCCCAGATTTTTTTTCTTTTTAAAAAACTATGAAAACAATGGTACATATAATTATTTCTAAAAACATGACTTTATATTTTAAGTACGTTATCAGAATAAAAACATTCAGAACTAGACTAATTAGACCAAAATGTTTGCACACCAAGGACATGAGTATTTAGATGTCTTACATACCAAGTCTCAGTGTTTGATAACTCCCTATATCATAAAGAATTACATTCAGAATTTGAAACATATCACTTGAGGTGAAAATCATAAATTTAATTTGGTTACACTATAAATAAAAGTTCACATTATAACAGGTTAATGTGTGATTAATAGATTTTATAGCTGTGTTGTATACTTGAAAAGGATTAATATTATTGATGGTTACAGGCATCAATTCTATAACAAAGTAATAATGGTGTTATACGCAGTCCACAATAATGCTGGACTTTCAATAAGCGGTTATTTTAAAAAAATATATTAATTATGTATAAGCTATTTTTGTAACAAATTTAATATTAAACTTAATGCTGGATTCCATTGCAGCCCCAAAACGCACATTTATCTTCTCATCAAGAATATACACAATGAAGGCAAAAAGAACTCAAGGCAAATGCTCACTTTTTAAAGTTTTCAGTTTATCAGTAAAACTTTTCGCTGTACCTGCTATGTTTATAAGTGTAGCAAGAAGTATTTCTGTTCCTGTCTTCCATAAATTTTTCCCTTCAAAAAAGGGGGTTAAACTAAACCCCAGATCTCTGAACACTGCTTCCTTTTGTAAATACATAGTGTGAGACGTTGCATACATAGTAGTTGCCATAAAAGACTCTTAGTCCTGTCGCATACACAAGAGCCTCTAAGTAACAGTGATATTTCAATTATCCATGTGTGAACTCAATTTCTAAATTAATATTAACTTTTAAATGGAAACATGTCTCAAAGACATTACTAAGATTTTCAGAGAAGGCCAAGGGAATTCTGAGCTTAGTTCCTACTGAACATAGACAGGAGTGGGAAGCCTACTTTTCTCTTTCCCATCTGAGAATGCTAGCCTACCTGTACTACACTGCAGTAGTTTGCTGGGCTCCTCAAAACACTTGCTCTGTATTAGGAACAAGCAAACACCCAAGCAAATTTGCTGTAACTTCTTCCTGTGGGTTGTTCTCATACAGGTAGTATTTACAAGCTTGCGCCCAAGGGTCAAGTTCAGTTTCTGGTTTTGGTTTTATTGCAGCATGGCTTTCTTCTCTCTTTTATATAAGATGCAAAATTTGTCATTTGACAGATTTTTATAAAGGCTTTTCTATCCCTAACTAGGTTAGCATAAATTAGTTAGAACCTTTGTTAGTGTTAGATCATTTCATTGAGTTATTTTCACTCATTTTATTCCATTTTTTTTTTTTTTTTTGATTGAACTAGAGAAATACACTGCTCAAGAAAATTCTAAAGTAGTTTTTGGAGATACATTTCCTCTGCACAAAATAGGTACAATGCAAATAAGGGTAAATACTTAGAAAAGTCTCATGGATAATTTTTAAAAGAGCTTTTTTGACGATTAATGGCATTATTATTTGAGAATTTGAAAGCTGTAATGTGTGGAAGAGAAACAGTATGATACAAAATACATTTGACTTAAACTGTTTCACAGTGAAGAAAGCAGCACCATAATATTTGCAGGCAAAGCATTCTTTGAGTTTTGTTTTGCTTTTTTCAATATGACAATCTGTAGGTCCCGGAATTAGGGGTCATATATTGCATACACATGATAATATTTTTATTTATAATGTTCAGGCTCTGTATAAATCATGACCTTCCTCCAATTCATATCAAATGTTCTACATGCATGTTCTTCTGTAAACAGCAAGTTTGTTTTTCTTTATCTCACAAGGGATCTAGGTTAGAGTACATGCAGTAAGTACAAGCTAAAGCAATACTGAACACATGAGAAAAAATTAGGGGAAATACAACTAAAACAATTTCAGCTTCTAGGTGAAGAAAGAGGCTGTTAGGATTGTTGCAAATCACTGTCATAAACAGTCCTCTCTGCATGGTTTCAAGAACTGATTAGCATATCCTAATGTCATATCAGGTCTGTACTTATTGGCTCAATAGTTTCCAAAATGCTGTCTAACCCAAACCGACACATTTTCAGTAATATATCACCCCTAATAAAATTGACTTGCAATATACAGTGACATATATGACTATTAGGTGCACTCTCATCTTTTCAGTGATTTTTTATGAAATACAGTTCGAGTTTAAATATACTCAGGTTTCTTTTTTTTCTGGAGATGTGTAAAAGAACTGTATTTGTTCTCTCATGAACCCAAGTATTTCTTTAGATTTTGGAAGGGTGAAAGCTGCAAATGTAGAATAATAACATAGAAAACCAAAAGCAGCCTTTTTAGATTTTTTCCTTTTTCTATTCTGTGATATTTGTTCATATTCTATTATTTTGGTTTCCATCTTGATAAAAGATAAGTGACCAGAAATAGTCAGAAATTTCCATTTTGACTGCAAATCTAAAAGTCATAGGGAGTTTAAATCAGAGGTTTAGTTTCACTATTTTTAGACTTAAGTCAGAGGTGAAGTACAGATCAGAATCCAAATGTCTCGAAAATACAGAATATCCAAATTCAGAGTTTCCATGCAGATGTGTTTTTGGCATACGGTTCTGACCAGGACTTAAACAGTATCACTGGAACTGTGAGCACAGTAATATAAGTAAAAACCTGTTGATCTAGCTGTGGATTTGCTAAATCGATTACTCATTTCCCCAACATTTCTAACATTATTTTCTAATTAACATAATGAGAGCTAAAATAAATTTTATTGCAGGTCAAGAACACTGGGCAAAGCTGGACTACAAGTATGTTATCCTCAACAACAGTAACCTGGAAGAAGAATGGTAGTATGTACACATAAATTATTTCTACGTTATTAGTTAAACTCTACTTGATGTGTGGGACAGGGATTCTCATGTTTTGACCTATCAGCTCCTGGGATGCAATTAAATTCTTCCTGTGACATGTAAATGCCAATGTCTTGTCTTTTGTTTCCTGTCACCGATATACATCCCAAAGAGCAAATGTCCATGAAATACTTAGCCTTCTGCTGTAAACAAATGCTTTATTACCAAAGGTATGGGATCATGAGATAAGTTTCTATGCAACAGCACGAAAGACTAGGTAATGCCATTAAACTCTTTGAAACTGTGATTTATTCAAATATATGGTTTACTTAAATGCTTGGAAAGCAGAGAGAAAACAATAGTGATAAATAATTGTGATCTTAGTGTTTAACATAATAAAATAATCTCTGTCACAAATGCTGAGCCATGTTTCATGACTCATGGTGCATGGATCAAATAGCTAAGCATTAATTTTGTTCTGTTAATGAGATTAATTTTAGAGCATCTAAGTATAAAATAAAGCCAGCAGAAGTTATAAATTGTTAGTAAACCCTAAATGATCAAAAAACTCACTGAATGCCTGCATGACTATAATCCCTTGCTTTCACTAAGGTATTGATTAGATAAAATTTGTGTAAAAACACATGGGATTTGGGGACACAAGCAAAGAAAAGCAAATGTTGGTTTCATAATTTTGCCCATTTATTTTTCACAACTGGACAAAACACTGATTTGTAAACTAAGCAGCTGCTTCAGGCCCTACAGTTTTATCACCCCCTATTTGTAAGAGTACCTTACACGGTTAACCACCTTGGGTCTCAAGCAGTTTGCATCTGCAAGAGTTGAAGTTTAGCAAGTTTGGCACTCCTTGTGCTTGCTAAGGTTTGGGAGGTCTCTGGGATGTAATAGCCTCCTGCCCTCTGAGCCTCAATACCTGTCAGAGCCTCTGAAAACTGGATTCTTACAGTTAAGCTTACAATGAGTATTGTATCATCATATAAATAACAGAACAAATCTGTGAATTCAACAGCAATGCTTTAATATTTTACTAAACATATAAGTTTAGTGAGGGTATCCTTGAGTTTTATTTAATTAGTAAGCCACTGGTCACAAGGGAAGACTAACGCCTGAGCAGAATTCTGGTTTTGTGCTGACCAGTACAGGAGAAATATAGCCAGTCACACAAAAGTTCATCCTAGATTCTCTGTATGTATTACATGATGCCAAACTATCCCTACATATATATGGGGATATATATTCAGCTTGTGCTGAATATGAGTTAATTTTGTTGTACTACTGGTTTCTGAAATCACAAAGATGTTGAAACCTTGGAAGTTTCATTTTTCAGGAATTTGTGCTGATATTTTCCACCTTTAAGTGCCTGATTTGCTGTTTTGCAACACTCGACTTTGCTTTATAGTGTTAGAATTGAAACAGCTTTCTTGTCAGCCCCAGTTGAAACCACATGAAATCATAATTTTGCATTATTTCCATGTAAAGTAAGTAA